GGCATATAAATATGAAGAGAGGAGACAAGTCAAGGCTCTGATTAACTGTTTTGTCTTTTACTTTGATGCAGTGATGTATTTCATTCCCTTTTATATGTTCCCACTGAATCAAAACCATTTGTACAATGATTGGAAACTTTTATTTTTCAGTGACAATGGATGTTGTAATAGTTGACAGTAAACCTAGCACAATACAGGTATCATTTCTTGTTTAACAAGGTTTATGATGTCAAAATTTGAAAACGTAGCAATCTTTTTTTTGTCCCGCCTTGTTTTTTTCGCCCCATCGCATTGGCTTTGGAGTCTGTGGAGGATGCCATCCATACAATTTACTTGCTGTGGCCAAACTTTACAACTGTGCGAAAAGTACCGAAAAGGAAGTGGGTTAAGAGAGGGTTTAGGTTGTCAGGATCTTGAGGTTAAGACGGCTTACTTGTGTGATACCTTAAGGTGCTCAGAGGCACCACTTATAAGGCTAGGAGTCGACCACACAAAGTCTATATACATGTAACAATGTGTTCAGTGCATTTCATGTGGTATTGGGTCGGGTTGAATTTGATACTTGGTACTTACAGGATTCTCATTAAAATGATGATCATTTCATCAAGTTAGTTTAGACTTTAGAAGTACATATAAATGCCAAAATTGATGATGTTTTGGGGATGATTTTTAAAGCTTGTAATGGTACACCGACATAAGGGAATTTGAAAACCGAAATATATTTTTCTTTTTAGAAAAAGAAAAATAGGTAGTCCAACTTCTTAAGCATATGCTCCGAAATTTGTTTTTTTTTTGGCTGAATTAACGTACATGCTATTCTTTTTTCCAACTAATTTGTGTTAATCAAAAGTTTTAAACTGGGTCTTAATCTTACAAATAATTCTTGTGTTCTTAATATATAGGGCCATGGCGTAATGATAAACTGAATGTAATGAATTCAAGGGTGCGGAATCTGGAAGCTAGTTTTACTCCCGATTCTTTCCAGATGTTACCGGAAACATCGGCACTGTCATGGCCGCAACTCGCGGCGATTCCAAATCCCTAAATCTGACTATAATTGGTGGTAATGGAGGCCCGTGCTGCAAGAAAGCCCCCAGGTCAAAACATCGAACAAATGTACACCGGGTGGGCCTGGCTACACGGGATCAGGGGAGCAAAATCTGTGGAAAATCCGGAGATTTAGTGTAAAATTTTGACCTTTAGCGTTTTTTTTGCGGTGGTGCATTTTAATTGACCACAGTAAGTAAATTTTATGGATAACATCCTACACAGACTCCGAATCTAATGCGAACGGGCGAAAAAAAAGGCGGGCCGAAAAAAAACAATTTTCAAATTTTGACTCAATCATTGAACAAATGGTTTTGATTCAGTGGGGAACATCACATATACACAGTCACCATATCACATATCACTGCATCAAAGTAAGAAACAAAACATTAAATCAGAGCCTTTTCTTGTCTCCTCTCTTCATAGTTATCTGCCATCCACCTTCCGGCATGGCAACAGACATCTTTGCCCATTTTCGGCATGTTGACCACTGTCAGAGGACAACAAAATTTCTTTTTTTTTTTCAAAAATCAGGCGAAAATTCATGCGCGCGCTGATGTCATCCATAAAAATTACTTGCTGCGGCCTTTCTTCACCTGCTGTGTCAGGGTGGTCCAAATTGTGTGACATCGACTTATATTTTTCTTAGCAACATTTTAGGCAATAAAACATTCTCTAACTCATCTAAGCATTTTAGGATGGGATAAGGAGCTAAAGACAGGAATCATAATTTGACCTACAGGGTCACATGACATTCATGCCATGCAAAACCATCAAATTATTAGAATACTCGTTGGCGGTATCGCTTCGATCTGTCGCGCAGAAAAGCCGTGAAAATCCACTGATATTGTCTGACGACCAACCTGTTTAAAACGTGGCTTACTCAAAGGGTATCTGGCCTTTCTCTGAATACTTCTTCGCTGGCATATTGTCGATTTATACAAAGCTTTCGACAATCATTCGAACGAAGATACCGCTGACTGATCCGCCAACCCCCGTTCTCGAGTTATCTTTTTTCAACGATTTAACTAAAATGCATCTGCAGTTCCAGAATTAGCTGCTAGGGATCCCAAAGTTATATGTCTTCTTCCCGAGCACAAGAGCTACCTACCACCAAAAAAATCGTGTTCATGGTATGTTCAGAGCACGAAATATGAAAACCGTACGTTCCACTGCAGGACCGTAAAAATCCACCAGGGGCCCCATCAAAATCTAATCATTTCGAGGTCTCACCAAGACCTACCCACATACCATGGCCAAATATAAAGACAATCCATTTAAGCCTTCTAAAGTTATCATGTTGACAGACACACATATTTACATTTAGACAAGATATGCAAGAAAATGTCAAAGCAGGACATGTTTAAGTCATGCAAGAACGAATGTACAGTAGACAAACTATGTAATTATGTTTCCAAATGTTTCAAAAAGAGAGAAGAAAGGGCAACTAACAGTAGATGATAGGTAGTATATAGTATTGTTATAATGTATAAATTCCTAGCAATTAGCATTAGAATATAGCGTCCCAGTATGAAATACTCATGTTTTGCATACTGCATGTCCTCTTGTGCATTTAGCCCATCTGGGCAAGAACATGCAATAAAGATTCATATCATATCAATATAATCTATATCTGATGACGAAAACTGCACATGTACATGTATATAAGAAGTGAGAGCTATACAGTAGACAGACATATCCCCGCTGTGATAACATGTGGCTCGGTACAAGAACAGTTGTATCCTGTTGACCCTAGCCATGACCCCTCCGCCGGGTGGTCTAGTACATCTACCTACTTAAAAGCCACCACGGGAGTAAAGTACTCCACCCTCTGTACCCACTATCAACACAATTGTCGTGCTTTAACTGTACGCTTTGTTTTAAAACAGTCTTATTCTTATAACGTAGACCGCGATGAGGAAAATTAAAAGAAAAAGACAGAGAACAGTGAGGGGTCGTAAGGAGGTTTTCGGCATGATCAAAGGGAATGGAGTTTCAAGAGCTGATCCGAGTTAATAGCGGTTCTTATGCGATGATTCTGCCCCATTTTAGGCCCTTTTTTAGCAGTGTATTACAGAACGTGTGTGTGTGTTGTGTCTAGACCAGTTAACTAGGAGATTACTGAGTGGAAATGGCAGGAAAGATGTAGAGATTGGTCGTTGAGGTGGCGGGTGGTTGACTGTAGAAACTTTGTAATTGTCTAGCAAGCACTCTACATATCAAATTGGAGCTCTGTATCTGTATAGCCGGTACAATTGTCATTCCGCGTAACACATCAGCTTCGCAGGCACGCGTTATATTACACCGAACGACATGTTATGTACCTAAGGCCACAGCAAGTAAATGTTATGGATGACATCCTCCACAGACTCTAAATCTAATGCGAGCTGGCGAAAAAAAACACAAGGCGGGCCGAAAAAAACACAAGGTTCTTACATTTTCAAATTTTGACTCATTTATTGTACACATGGTTTTGATTTAGTGGGAACATCACATATACACAGCCAACATCACATATCACTGCATCAAAGTAAGAAACAAAACATTAAATCAAAGTCTTTTTTGTCTCCTCTCTTAATAGTTATCTGCCATCGTTCCGGCATTGCAACAGGCATCTTTGCCCATTTTCGGCATGTTGACCTCTGTCAGAAGGCAACAAAAGTTTCTTGTTTTTTTCCAAAACCAGACGAAAATCAATGCGCGCTGATGTCATCCATAGAAATTAATTGCTGTGGCCTTAGTATTGTCATGTCAAAATTGATGGGAGGACAACGCTGTTGTCATACGATATATGGTTTTCAGTTCACCCAAGGTCGAATCGATCAGAATCATATGTAGCAATTCTCCTGCAAACAAAGGTGTACCGCTCACTCATCGGAAGTATTGGCCGCAACCGGCGATTATGTCGTATGTATGTAGGTCACCCCAGGCGCCGAACAGTTGACAAGAACAGTACTTGCCGTAACAAGATGCAACCTGTGATTTTGGGGGAAAACTTTCTAATTCCATAAAAAACAATGAAAAGCTTATTGCAAATTCATGCCCGGAGGCTTATTGCAAATTACAAAACATAACAATGAAACAGAGTATAAAATAACTTAAGTCGACATGATAAAGGTAGCTGTCTGGAACTATATGTCTAAAACTATGTCTGAAGGGTTTGACTTCTCTTCTGTAAACCATAACATAAACAAACAAATTAAAGTTCAATTCAGCAAAATGAAACAGCACAGTCTTCTTGATATTGTAGAAATATAATTAAGGTATTTTTGCGCTAGGTACCACTGAACATTTGGTAGGAACACGGTACCATGGTACGAAACTCTAAATTTTTCGGCCGCCATCTTGGCCGCCATTTTGATGACCTTGACCAGCCAAAGACCATCTGAAGAGGATGTTGAAAATCTTATTAACGGGAAGTCGTTGAGCACATGACAAGATTGTCTTGAGATTTCATCCTTAATCCTTCAAGACGGCGGACGTCGGTCTTCTCAGGGACGCCTGGTTTAAGAAGTTAATTGAAAACCTTGCATGTGTCCTTGGGATGGACTTGTAGGGTTAGAGTGACCTGTGCTGGAATTTTAGTCATGTTTTCGTTGCCATTCATCTATATCAATGCATAAGTAATCTTTGGTTAGAATAATTGAGAGGTTGCGTAAATTGCCGCGGTGGTTTTATTTCAAGGTAGGAGAGAAAGGGAATTTTCACGGTGTTTTGAATTTACAGTTGAAGCGATTCTGTAGTGAAGTAGTAATACAATGTACAAGGAAGTCATATTCGCGGCGTCATGAATTCGTGATGGAGAGATTACCATGAAAATATATAAACCAACCGCGAATATTTCAACCAAGTTGCGACGCTTTTCTCTCAAATTTAGTAGTATTATCATATAATGTGATATCATAAATATATACAAAGACTTAATTTTCCACAAAACTCCACTTCTGCCCCAGGACTGGTTGACTCAATACGGTTACATCGTGAATGACGGGACGCAGGCTGACGGTCCCACGGGCGGCGGCGCGGCGCTGCAGAGCTCCGAGAAGATCCGTCAGGCCATCCGCCTCATGCAGCGGTTCGCCGGCATCAACGAGACGGGCGTCATCGACGAGGCCACCAAGGAGAAGATGCGGCAGCCGCGGTGTGGCTTACCGGACATCAGCGGGCAGGACAGGAGGCTGAGGAAGAAGAGATACAACATCCAGGGGAACTGGGACAAGACGGACCTAACCTACAAGTAAGTAGAAATCAGAGGCACTACAATAATATCACACCAAAGACAGTCGAAACCTTATGCCCATGATTATCTGTCCTAACTTACTGGGACCCAAACAGAGGAACAACGCTGACTAAAACATAATATTAAAATTCCTGGCCCACAGGGAGCAGGGAAGATTTCATCTCCAGTAGAGGGGCGCCGGGGGTTCCACAAGGAACCATCATGGGGCCTTTGCTCTTTCTCTTGTACATGATCTAACAGATCAGCTTAGTTCAAATGTGGGATAACTGACTTCTGCAAGAATGGTCTGAACGCCCTCGAAGAATGGCAAAGCAAATGGGCCATGTACTTATGCAGTTTAATCCCGAAATAATACTATATTATGCACGTAATAAAGTGAACCCCAAGTGTAACTATCTACCTGTTTCGTGTCCACCTGGAAACAGCCTGGCATCCAGAGAGTCCAGACTGTCGTCCTAGGCTAAATCCTTTGCTCCTAAGCCATTGGTCCTTGTCCTTATTGTCTATACAGACGCCAGCCTTGGTCATCCCACACCGTTCGCTAATTTGAGGTTGTCAAAACATGTCTGTGTCTCTGCTTGGGGCATGAGAACAATCACGCCAGAGACACCCGTAATCATTTTCTTAAGTACCCATGATTATGTGTCCTTAGTGTCCACCAGAATAACAACGCAGACTGAAAAAACAGTCAAATTTAGACAAATAGGGAGAATAATTTATTAGGGGAGTTTGGCAACCGCGTATGTTTCATTTTCCAACGCGGAAAACGTTACCCTTACCATGGGATCACTCTCCTGGCCAATTATTCAAGCTATTTTCCCGAATTCTACTATTCGTGCACATTAAACCCCTTAGGCCACACCAATTTAATTTGTTGTTTCTCGGATTCGCCCTGCCCATTTTTTTCTAATTTGGTTCTAAGAGGGCCTGCAAGGGGGGGGGTAGTGATTACGAATTACGCAAAATTTTCGCCGCCTGTTACGAATTACATTAAAGTTTCAGAGCTGATTACGACTTTACGATTTGCGGCTAATGTCCAATACGAATTACGTTGATTTTTGCGGAGGCTGCCTACGAATTACGAAGTCTAAAACGGCCTGATTACGCCTTACGAAAAAGGGCTTGCAGGCCCTCTTCTAAATCAACTGCAAAATGCTAAATGAAAGACATGTATCTTGGCCCCAACGGTTGAGGAAAGTCCTTTTCTTCCTAGTTGTTAAAGTGTTTCAATGTAACAAGGCAAGTTTGTTTCATTAAAAGTTCAAAAGCTATTGTTTTAATTATAAACCAGCCTGGTATGTTCACTTCCTGGCTCATATTGTAATATCTATCATGGGGTACCTTGGCCAGTTATTTTTTCGCCCTGTCGCTTCATATTTTTTTCTGAAAAAATCCGAGAAGCAACAAATTAAATTGGTGCATGTGGCCTTAGGAACGTCTGGTGAAGGCTAATTTGTCATAGGTGGTCGAACGCTAAATTTAATCGGCATTCGTATTTTTACGAGCCCGTGTATTTGTACATTTGTCAAAATCACGTGTGGAACAGAGGAAACTACATGTAACGTTACAATGTACTGCACGAAAACGACACTAAAAATGGCACCTAATTCCATACATGCGTATTTTGTAATGCCCAACACCTCTTAACTGTCTATCAAACATGTAAAGATAAATCCAATTAAACATTTTCTCGAAATGACAACAAAAGGTCATTGGAACAACGTAATGAACGCACGTTTCAAAAGGTCATTCAAACTCGTTATCGTATTTCATTCATTGTGAGGCGACCTCGCTAGCTCGTCTTCTGGCCTCTGTCCAAAACACGATCCCAGCAAAGATAAGGTGACACATCCGAAAGATTCACCGGCTTTAGGACGAGAGCAGTTCTAATCTGTAGGCAGGATCGTTCGGAAAGTTCTGATGATACACAAGGCAGTAGTGTCACAGTACGTGTTCACGGGATCATCCGGAAAGTTACGATATCACTGCTATCAGAACATACAACTTTTCTGATGTGTATGCAGGATCGTCCGCAAAGTTCAAATGATACACAGGAGAGTTTAGATCGTCCGGAAATGTACAGCAATTGCAAATGTTGGTAAAAGATGTTCTGAAACGTTTTAAGCCTGGTATTAACAGTTCTTTAATACGACTAGCTAAGCCGTGAGCCAAATCTTGGGAATGTTCTTTAAGGCTTAAATAGAAGATGGCCGAATGGACAAAGCTAATCTATGTTTGTTTTACTCCTTTTGATGATTTATTGAATGTTTACGTTTGAAAGAGGCTCATTATGGAGGTGTCGACATATCTGTCTTCGACCCGGCCGGCTAATCGCATGTTTTCATTTGTTAAACCGGTGTTTAAATGTGGGCAGAACAACGGCCATTTTCTGCTAAAATGGCTAAACTACGAGCATGGGACCAGGGGTGTCTCCAACTCTTTGAATATTTCTATTCAAGTGTGTAACTCGGTGTTTTACGACGTAATTATAGAGAATCCATCCGCCAGGTAGCCTGCATGTCGGCCTGGTTAGGATAACGTGCACTCCTGTAGTCACTACTTACATGTAAACGTAGCCCGACCAGGCTGGTGTCTAGGCTTGCTGACAGACAAAGCTCGAGAAATGTCAATATCAATTTGCCTGTATGGCACAATTATTACTTAAAGTATTAAACCAGAAAAATTAAGCTACCAAAGTGATAATGAGATAAATACTAGTACACCGTCATTTTGTGCTCACCGAGCGCTTTGCTTCATGTTCAATTTAATTCAATTCCTTGCCTAGAAACTACACGAAACCATGCCCTGGCCATGTTGAAACCCACAGAGAACAATCATCCCTATAGGGTATCATTTGTTGCTTCCCCCAGCCCTCTGGGACGACATCCCCCTATATTTATCTTTCCCCCAGACGTATCAACACAAACAAAGGCACCGGAAAGTTAAGCAAACTCTGCTCCCATGTTTATAAACCTTCCGTGGTAAAGACCCTCTTACTAGATATCGATCTCTACCGATTAGGTGTTCTTCTGTTCGTGTGCTGAATACAAGACTTCTACATTTTAGCAGAACGCAGCAGAACACAAGTAGAGAGCTTTGCTTTTGGAACGTCCCATTTTTTTCAGACGATAAGATCGCCCGGAAGGAAGGCGGGAAAATCCTTGACAGAAAAGATTTCCCGCCAAATTTCCTCCGCCGTATTGTGAGTGAAAAATCAGCCTTTGTGTACATTCCGTTCGCAGATATGTCCCCGATTCTCTGTCAAATTTCAGGAAATACGATTTAATCCCTGCTAAAACTAACTACAGGAGACGATACACAAATATTTAGACGTAATCTATATCTTATCTTTTGATTGGAGGGCGCCGAAAACTGTTCACACTGACCAGAAGTGTTATCCAAATATTTCTATTATCAGAGTAAGTGTCCTGTTGCCGGTCAGACGATACCACGGTGACAGCCCGTCCGTTTCTGGCATGTTTCCAGCGATCTTAAACAGGGGTGCCAGTTTTACGGAATACAGTGCAATTTTACGGAATACAGTGCAATTTTACTAGTATACAGTGCAATTTGACTAGTAGAATTGCACTGTATACTAGTAAAATTGCACTGTATACTAATACGATCGCACTGTATTCCGTACAATTGCACTGTATAATACGATTGTACTGTACTCCGTAAAATTGCACTGTATACACTGGCACCCCTGTTAAAACGTTTTCTAGACAGGAGGCTATACATTTTCTATAGGTTGGACTGACCTGGAAGCACAGTTATATGGACAGCCTATCACTGTAGTCAGATGATGTATATAATTATCGTAACAAAACAAGAAAAGGTATTTGTAATTGTTACCAACATACGTACTTCAATAACTCTGCAAGAGACACTAGTATACAGAGCATTCTCAGCGGATTTCGAATAGATAATCCATGGAGCTGCCTGTTATACAAATGTATTTAGCTCCATGGATGATCTAAGGTTTGGGAAGGATAATACACATAAGCAAAATTTTTGGGGGTAGGACAACACTTCCGTTTGATATGTTGAAAAATGTTAATATATGTTTTGAGCGTTAGCTTTGTAATGACACTTTTCGAAGCTCACTATGCATCTCAAAACGAGTCTAAACGACAGATGAAAATGTGAGACTCATTATTTTTAAATAAAAATATTAAAATATCATATACACATGTACATGGAAAAATACAATAGAAACAAAACAAAGCTCAAGACCGAAGTAGTTTTGTTTCCCATCCATCGATCCGTTTCACGGCCATTACCGATCATTACCGACAATTACCGAGCATTACCGACGACCTCCATTGTCCCGCCGAGGGACAGCGACGTCCCCGATGATTGACAGCCCACCTAATCTGGCGCGAATGTACAATGCTGCGCCAATCAAATGTGATTAGTTCTTAATTGCTTGTGTCAGTTTTGGTCTTTGTCCCGCGCAGCACGAGAGCTCATTATAATGTCATGACCCCAGCTAAACAAACCGTCCGCCATTTTGGACACACACACACCAGACGACAGTCACGCCAAGGTTGGACTCAGAGATCTGTCACGTTTCATTAGATAAGAAAGCAACGATACGTCGGCGTATTATCCTCCATTTCCCGAGTGTTCTGTCTCTGTCAGTCTCTCATCTTTTGTCATCAAGTCGTCTGCCCATCTGAAAACCATCTCCCCTCGAAGGTCGAAGTAGTAGTACTAGTAGTATGACCTTCAGTCTGTGACCAATGCAACTTCCCAAAGCCGTTTGAACAAAGTTTTTTTTAAGAATCATAATTCATTCTTATCATTCGCTAATCTTGTGTGTTTATTCTAGTCGTCAACTTTTCTTTAAGATGTGTTGGTTTGTGAATACTTTGAACAAAACGATTCAAGTGACTGCCCTTGTCCTGTGCCGTCATAGGGCCATGGACACAGACAGGAATTGAGATATAAGTTTCCACTTTTAGGTTGGGACGCGAGACCTCGCCTCCGGCTTTATTTTGTTATCTGTCAATCTTCCTACAAGAACCCCATTGTGCGTTGTTGTGTTGTTTGTTTTGCCTCGAAAATAAAGGACCGTGCTGCAAGGGGTGGAAGTAGTTGGTGTAAACAAGTAACAAACTGCAACATCATTTTCGCTGTACAACTGAATTTCACATGTAGCATAACACACGTACTATGCGCGCCGACTTGCGGATGTTGTTGGAACAACATACTGTATACACGTTCCTTGGTCACAACGCAGTATAGGACTGTATAATTCAATGTCTTCATTTCTTTCCTCTTCAGGTTTGTAAGTTACGGAGACCCAACCGTCCTCAGCCTGAGTGAAAGCGAGATCCGCTACGCCGTAGAGCGTGCTTTTGCGGTGAGTAGTTTTAGGATAATTCTCACTTGTGCGTATGTATTTACGCGATGTGGCATTCTTCCTGCAAACCAAAAGAAATGTGCTACCATGAAAGTTCATCTGTATTGGTAGTTACATGTTTAAAGTTAAAACTTTTGGTCCAACACAAAAAAATTCTCTCACCTAGAGCTTTCGACCAGTCACTCTGGTCTTCCTCAGTAGACTGACCCAGTGAGGCTTGTCACGTGGCTTCTTTGAAGTGTGACGTCAACACTGGGTCAAAGGTATTTGGTAGACGATGTCGGCCCCCGTCGCGGTTAAGTGAAGTATGGTGGGCCATGATGTGTGAAATGTATGCTAAAATCCCAAGTCTAAAGAAATGACGAGATTTTTTCTATCCATTTTCTTGTGGCAGGTTTGGAGCGAAGTCGCCCCTCTGACGTTTACCGAAGTTTGGTACGGCGATGCCGACATCAACATAGACTTCAGACGGTTCTATCACGGAGACAAGTACGTTTTCCTCCAAAGTTTCTATATTTATAATATACATGTATATTTAACATCAGACACAAAAGACTGATATTTGATATTTTACACTAATTAGAACTTTTGGAAAGATTAGTAGTCTCCTAAATATTATTTAGGAGATTAATTACTTCCAAACGTACACACCCGAACATTGTTAAATATTATGGGAACTAAATTTATGTTTGCATGGTTTGAAAGTTAAGTGAGGGCAAACATCATGAGACATTATTTATGCAAATCAGAGCCTCATTTACATACTATATCGTAGAAAAACAGTTCTGATTGGTTATTGTTTCCCCTCAGTTTCCCGTTCGATGGCGCGGGCGGAGTGTTGGCGCATGCGTTCTTCCCTGGCGAAGGCATCGGTGGCGATACCCACTTTGACGAGGACGAGCCGTGGTCTGTGGGCACTGGCACCGGTAAGGGTAAAAAACGCCGCCTAGCGGAAACTGCTATCTGTATCTACTGTCTATAATTACCTTCGCCAAGAAGGTTATGTTTTCAGAGGCGTTCGTGTATGTGTGTGTCCGTCCGTCCTTCCTTCCGTCAAGGGATACGATAACTTGAGAAGGCTTACATGGATTGTCTTGATACTTGGTAGGTGGGTAGGACTTGATGAGACCTCAACATGATTAGATTTTGGACCCCCTAGCGGCTTGTTACGGTAATGCAGCTGAACTTCCGGTTTTGATATCTCATGATCTAGACATGATAGGGTGAGGAAATTTGGATGGTAGGTAGCACTTTTGCTGGGGAAGAAGTGACGCGAGTTTGGGCTCCCTAGCGGCTTTAATATGAATGTCTATATTTCATGAGCACTATTCATAATTTGGTGATCCGCATGCATAACCAATTATGTTTTAATGTCCTCTTGAGCATAAAGACGCCATTTTTGTTTTTCCAGGTGTGGATATTTTCGTCACTGCTTCGCACGAGTTCGGGCACGCGCTCGGGCTACACCACTCCTCGTCCCCAGGGTCCCTGATGTCCCCCTACTACAACTACTACGACATGAACACGTTCACTCTGCCTGACGACGACAGACAAGGCATACAGACACTGTACGGTAAGTCAACGGTCTACGGTAGTTCTAGTATTATATATATAAAGGCCACAGCAAGTAATTTCTATGGATGACATCAGCACGCGCATTAATTTTCGCCTGATTTGGAAAAAAAACACGAAATTTTGTTGCCTTCTGACAGTGGTCAACATGACGAAAATGGGCAAAGATGTCTGTTGCCATGTCGGAAGGTGGATGGCAGATAACTATGAAGAGAGGAGACAGCTAAAGGCTCTGATTTAATATTTTGTTTCTTCCTTTGATGCAGTGATATGTGATGCTGGTTGTGTATATGTGATGTTCCCACTGAACCAAAACCATTTGTACAATGATTGAGTCAAAAATTTAAAATGTAGGAACCTTTTTTTTTTCGGCCCGTTTTTTTTTTTGGCCCGCTCGCATTAGATTTGGAGTCTGCGGAGGATGTCATCTATAAAAGACAACTTGTAAATGTGTCAATGCACCTGTTTTGTCCTCCCTTCCACTTGTATACTTATACTCATGGTAAACTCAAATAAACAAATAAACAAACAAATAAACAATATGTGTCATCACCAAACAGGCAGACGACACTACCGTAACCGTGACCCTGACGATGCCCCGCGGACCAGCATCCCGGAGAACCCGACTCCTCCCATCGTCATCACCGAGAACCCCAACATCATCCCCGGGGCCAACCCGCCCATCTCCCCGCAGCAGTGCCAGCCCGTCTTCGATGCCATCGCCGACCTCCGCGGGGAACTCTTCTTCTTCCACAACGAGTACTTCTGGAGGAAGCGGGCGGGCGGCGGCGACATGAGCGGCCCCTGGCGGATCCACTCGTTCTGGGAGGGCATTCCTGACGACGTCCGGAAGATAGACGCGGTGTATGAGAGACTCACAGACGGCAGAATATTCTTCTTCGCAGGTAAAATTTTAGTCAGAATTTCGCTCTTCTTTTTATATGACCAATAGACACAAGTTACACAACGTTAGAAATGCATAGATACGACCTAGAATGGATATGAACTTTTATAGCTCATGCCCGTAGGCAAAGGGGGTTTGTCCACTTTTTATCTAAAGGTCCAAGATTTCTCTTTAGGAAGACTGATTCGTATCAAAAGCGGGCCTGGAATCGTATAAAACTGCCTACTTTGTCATTGAATAAAAAGTTACCTCTGATTTTTTTCTCTGAACTCCTCTCAAAAACGCAGGAAATGCAGCCTAATATAAGTTGAGGATGCCTGATAAAAAATTACAGCTACCACTATTGCTTCCACGCCATCCGTCAGTGCTGTTTTCATACTTTTCGTTAGGTGGCGCACTTGAACGGTGTGTCGAAAATTAACATAATACAAACCCTGTTCTCCAGGCCCCAGATACTGGATCTTCGAGGACAGATACGCCCAGGACAGAACGTACTACCTCCGGGACATCGGTCTCCCTGACGACGGCATCGACGCCGCCCTACAATGGCGACGGAACGGGAAAATCTACTTCTTCAAAGACGACATCTACTGGAGATTCAAGGACGACGTGATGGATTATGGGTACCCGAAAGACATCAGTAAATGGACGGGAGTGCCCGCCTACATCGATGCAGTGTTCCAGGCTAGATCCCTCGGTATGGCAATGGCGGCATTTAGCCAGTCTTCCTAATTTCTTACTGAGAATGTATTACTTACTTACGAAAGTATTACTTTGGGTGGGTTGGTTTGTGGGTTTGTGTATACGCTGGTCCATACAGTCGGTTGACAGCACGTGGGTCATGGGGGGAAAGACTGACAGAATAACAGGAGGTCAAAAGCACGTGGGTCGTTGATAGCACGTGGGTCATGGTGGAAAGATTGACAGAATAACATGAGGTCAAAATGTTAGACGCGGAAAATGGGGTGAACTTGAAAGTCCCCAAATCTTGATGGGAAATTAGAGGTTAACATATGCCGGAATTCAGGTGTTTTTTTTTACAATAAATTAATGAAAACCAAAAATACTTCTCGGAAGTCTGATGAAATCTCCGGTTTCTTGTTTTATTGAGTTTATATCATCTTATTGTTACGACGTAAATGAAAAACTATATAATGTGAATTTGTCCATACATGTTTCAAAAAGAGAGAAGAGATCCTGTAGACAGATCCTGTAGATAGAGACGTAGCACAGAAATGTAACACTTGTTTCTTCTAAACCTGTACCCTAGTTATCTAACTTAGTGCATTGGCCCATGTAGGGCGTGAATATGCAATAAAGTTCATTATCATTGTCATTGTTTTCAGACGGCACGTATTTCGTCAAGGACGATCTCTACTGGAAATTCAACGACGGAGTTATCGAGGTGGAGTACGGGTACCCGCGGGACTTCGCGCTGGACTTCCTCGGCTGCACGCCCCGCTTCGTCCCGAGCAGAAACGACGTCAACGTCATCTCGCCCATCCTCGGGAACCAAGTCAGCAACTCTACCGCGTCCTGGACGGCCTCAGCGCCGCACACTCTCACCCTCACCACGCTAGCCTCTATAAGTGTACTGTTCTATTGGAGAACGTGAGAGACGTACTGTGTACGTGTACATGTCATACTTAGTCCAAGTTGTAGATATACTCTCTCGGAATCAGACTGCAGGATGTACCGTACAAGTGCGCCACCTAGCGAAATTTTCAAAATACGTACGTACGTGTGTTTCCTTCAGTGTTTATATATGTTTATGCAGATGTCTACATGTGCGCCAAAAATACATTCCAACAGGAACAAGGTATAACTAACTGCAAATGAAAAAAGATATGAAACCAAGAAAGAAAACTACCACTACAGTTTCGTGCACTGGCTACCGTAATTTGGTTAGCCAACTCAATGAAGATTACGACACCAAATTTATAGTAATTGACGATGGTGAGAAATAGCCTTGTGTACTATAGTTTGTGTACTAGTATTATCGTAAATTTTGTTTTGTTTTTGGTCTAAACCCTTAGGAGAATAATGTTACTTTGAATTTATTAAAAAAAAGAGATAATGTTGAGGACATGTATTGGTTTTTGAGACTTGCAGTAGACCTGCGATTATTATTGTATTTTTTCATATCATTGTTACTTCAATATTGTGGATGTACAGTATCCAAATGTTCTTTCCAATTCGTCACTAAACCAACGCTAGTAATATAAGCTTTCGTGAGTGGTTAAGAGTAGAATAAGTTGTTATTCGCTATATTGATTGTGTTAAACAATCGTCCGTTTACTCAATAAATTGTATTCTTTGACCACGTGAAAGATTTCAGTTCATTTTTGTGTGTGTCTGACTTCGAACACTGTACAAGCTGTGGAGAAGCGCCACCTTGCGATAGTCAATCAGCCTTCACCTACCGTGGTTGATGCGGATAGCGCTGAATGATGAATAAAAATGTGTGCATAAAGTAATACATACAAATATTCAACCAAGGACACAAATAAATAAACATTTAGCTGTACCTTGAATTATAGCACACCCCCTAAAACACGGACCTTTTTAACAAGAAGCTATCAAAATTGTTTAATGTAGAACTGCCACATTGCCGCGGCCGTCATCGAAGATATCGTAGTTTCGTATTATGTATATATTATCATTATGAAATCAAAACCGTCATAACCATCTGTTCTAAAATTATTAATAATGGTAGCATGTAGTAACGACAGTACAGAATTCACTCTAAAATAACTTTCACTTTTGAATAATCGTGCATACAATCTTTAATATTTTGTACGTGTAGTCTTCGCGAATGTCTCCAGACCAGCTGCTCTGCGTACTTATATAAGGAGTCAAAACGCACTGTGAGGCCGATTTTCAGTACGAAAATAACCACAAGCTTTCTCCGCGTCTTTTGTGTGCTATCTCGCCGGGTAAGCCACTAGAGGGGGTAATTGGACGGTTTGTTATTACATTTTAGAAGGTCGGGAGAAATGGTTAGGCCATGTTGATTTGATTATTTGGATGACATCCACGCGCGCATAAATTTTTGGCCGTTATAAAAAAAAGTTTTCAACCATACTGTAAATCATTCAAAACCTAGCAAAATGAGCAAATATACATACCGTAAGTTGCAAAAAAATATTTAAAAACGATACCAATGACGTCGTAGACAAAATCAAACAAAAAAGACGAAAATGTAAAGAAATGAATTTGAAGACTAGATTATTCGCCATACCATACTCTGTGTCATTTGTTCAACGTTCATGACCACGTAGATTTCAAAACGAATTTTTGCAAAACTTTTTTTTTATTCGCACGCTCGCATCATTTTTTGGGGTTCCCAGAGGATGTCATCCATATAATCAAATCAAAATGGCCTTAGAAGGTCGGGAGAAAAGATTACCGTAGAGTGCTCCACTCTAAGTGGTATATTAGTCCTAATTTCTAAGAACTTCGTATGTTGTTTGTTTCACATAGCATGGTAACCATATTTCACTACATAAGATGTGTAAGGGTTTGATCTACTCACACTGGGATGGACCTCTCCCTTTTAGATAATTACGCCCATTTATTAATATTAATCTTTAATGTGCTCGAGGTGTGGCTCTCCTCAAACACTGGACCTCTGGCTTTATGTCCTATGATCCGAGAGGACGTCCCTAACCGAAGCTAGGGACTCATTTTCACCGAGTCTATTGAGGAAATAGGTGTAAAATGCCCTTTCCCAAGCTCCCAACATTGTAGTCTGCTAGGGATTCGAGCCCAGAACCTTTCAATTTTGAGTTTAACCACCCTAACTGCAAGACCACCTTGCCACTTGTATTCTAGGTACACCAAAATATGTAGAGTATGTCATCATATCTAGTGTTTTTTTTTTTAAATTACAAATCAGAATAAAAGACTCATTTTAAGTCTTCGTTAAAAGGCTTACACCAATGTTTGGTATGTGAACATTAATTTTTTTTTTTAAATTTCAAATCACTAACGGTTCTAACGGTGTTTGGCCGGTTGACGGACAGTTTAAAAGACTCATTTGAAGTCTTCGTTAAAAGACACCAATGTTTGGTATGTGAACTTAATTTTTTTTTTAAATTTCAAATCACTAACGGTTCTAACGGTTTTTGGCCGGTTGATGGACAGTTTAAAAGACTCATTTGAAGTCTTCGTTAAAAGACTTACACCAATGTTTGGTATGTGAACATAATTTTTTTAAAAATTTCAAATCACTAACGGTTCTAACGGTTTTTGAGCGGTTGATGGACAGTTCAAAAGAAGTACAAAGCTCTATTTCCCGCCCACCGGGTCGGTTATCACAGGTGTGGAAGGGTTTGAGTCACGCCGTGCACTCTGGGGCTTCAAACAAAATGATTGACGTCAACATGCAGACAATCTCTTTATGTTCCTAGACAAAAGGCATAGATTACATTCCTCCCTCCAGTGCGGTAAATAACTGACATAGGTGCAGGCCGAAGTGGGTGAGCGCGCGTCAGATCTTGTTTTTTTTTACCTACCAAATTTTGAAGGTAATAAAATTCGGCCTCTTTCATCTAAGAAAGAATAGAGAAAAATAACTGCACGTTTGGTATAATTTTGTTCCAAATGTTGCAACGATCAGAAACGTTTAATGGTGAAAATTTCATTCTGATGACATGTATGCTGTAAAATGTGAACGTTATTTGGGAGTACGAGTTGTTTTCGTTAATGCCATAGCTTAAAAGCAATTTTTATTAAGAATTAAATGTACTGTTTTATATTAAGTGTGCAGGTCAGTGCTTTACAGTATATTACTGGCCATTGTTACGCCATGGATGTTTTAAGAGGAAAACAAACGTTGTATTTACATCGTGCGATTTTGAAAAGACCCAAAAAGGATGTAAAACAGCCTTCTCGGTAACAAGAAAGCTGAATTTTGTACGAAACCTGCACGACTATCTTAAGACAAACCAAGAATAATCGTACGATGATCGTGCGACGTTCGTGATCAAGTCCTAAACAGAATGTGTTTCCATCGTACGATTTTGAAAACACCCGAAAAGGATGTAAAACAGCCTTCTCGGTAACAAGAAAGCTGAATTTTGTACGACACCTGCACAACTTTTTGAAGACAAACCAAGAATAATCGTACGAAGATCGTGCGACGTTCGTGGCCAAGTCTTAAACAGTCCTGGTTTTATGTGTTACAAGGATACCGACCTTCACACAACACACGTGGTAGACCCCAACGGCTACAATACATAATACTGGTGTAGACAATCTCTTTTTTTTTAAAACAAGCGGAACAAAAAAACATTAAAATGAAAATATTTCCAATTTCCTTTGGTCGGATGGTCTGACTAATCAGTCTAGACATTAATGGTGAGACGTGACAATCTTGGTCAGGAGTTATTTTGTTTTTTGTCGCGTTCTGATTCAAGGGGAATAAAAATCATGAAATAGAATTACACAGCGATATCTTTCTGAAACTAAGCGATTTAATAACTGATTTATAGTTCTGTATTAATTTATAATTCTGTATCTTAATAGCTAAACTCTGTTTTCTCGTAATACGGGGAAACCTGGACGCTACCCATGTTACATTGTTTTGTGATGTAATTTTTATTTTATGTCTGGTGACGTGAATATAAGCATATTGCTGAGTGCGTCACCACAATGTATTGTATTGTTTGCATGTTGAAATTAAAAAAATGAAATGTTGACTAATTTCCAACGAAAAAAGCAAATTTGTTTTAGTCAGGGTAGACTCTGATCGGGTAGATTCTACCGACAAAGATCCCGATCGGAGTACATTTTTAAACTTTGATTCATGTCACTAACTTTTGGATTAGCTTGATATTTTTTAAATGAAAAAAAAAACCTGACATCCTAATGGGGGTCTCTCTCTTCTATATATCTTTCTCCTCCCCTCTCTCTTCTCTATCTCCTCTCCCTCTCTCTTCTCTCTCTCCCTCTCTCTCCCATGACCATGTTTTG